GGTGATGATGATGATGGTGATGCTGATGGTGTCCCCACGATGATAATAATGATGATGACGATGTTGATGATGTTGCTCATGATGATGATGGTGCCCCCATGATGATGATGTTGTTGCTGATGATAATGTCGATGATGATGATGCGATGATATGATGATGATGGTGTCCCGAGGATGATGACGATGTTGATGATAATGTTGATGATGAGAAGGATGGTGATCATGATGGTGTCCCGATTATGATGATTATTCTGATGATGCTGATGATGATGACGATGACTGTGTCCCGATGATGATGATGATGATGATGATGATGATGATGTTGATAATGAGATGATGATGGTGGTGATGATGATGTTGTCCCGATGACGATGCTGACTTTGATGATGCTGTTATGATGATGATGATGATGATGATGATGATGATGATGATGACGGTGCCCTCATGATGATGACGATGTTGGTGATGATTTTGATGTTGATGCTGATGATGATGATGATGATGATGATGATGATGATGATGATGATGATGATGATGATGATGATGATGATGATGATGATGACGTTGATTGTCAGAGCGAGTGTGATATCGATGGTGAGATCGATCTTGAGACCGAATGTGAGACGATTGTGTGATCGATTGTGAGATCGATTGTGAGATCAATTGTGAGACCACGACAGGGCATGGGAGGACCAGGGTTTCCCAGACCGCTCCAAGAGCTCCCCGGAGCGGCCCTGGAGCTCCCAGACTGCCCCAGAGAGCTCCCAGAAGCCCTCGGGGACTTCGACAAACCCTTCCAAGACAGCCCAGATAGCCCCAACGTGGCCCAAGATGGGTTCGAGACCGCAAATACACAGCCCAAGCCTCCAAGAGGCCTCAAGAGAGCTCCGAGAAGCATCCCGAGAGAGCCCGAAGAGGCTCAAATCCTTGATTTCCATTGGCTTTTGCAATGTTTTTCGGTGTCTCGCGTTTTCGACTTCCCGGCGCTCCACGACAGCCGACGGCGCCCCCAAGACCGCCCCAAGACCGCCGAAAAGGCCTCCAACAGAGCCCCAAGACTGCCCCACGGAACCCGAAAATTGCCCCGTAGGAGCCTCAGACGGCCGAAGAGAGCCCCAGGACAGGCCCAAGCTGGGCCCCAGAGCGGGAGCGGGAGGCCCCATGGCGGCCCTGATGGCCCCAAGCGTGGCCCCAGATGGGCCCAACACTGCCAATACACAGCCCAAGAGCCCTCCAATATGTATGTATGTGTGTGTATATATATATATATATATATATATATATATATATATGGTCGCACCCCCCCCAAGATCCCCATGTTGCTTCCTCCTCCTCTCCCTCCTCCTCCTCCTCCCTTCTCCTTTCAGCTTCCTCCTCCTTCCCTCGTTTTCCTCCTCTTCCGCAGGCGGAACGTTTTTTTCATTTTTTTCCTCCTCCCGCCCTCGGAGGCAATTTTTTTTCCTCTTTTTCCCTGTGAAAACACAGGTTTTTCCCGATTTTACATTTTTTTCCTCTTTTTCGGTCTTTTCCCTGGGCGGCGGAAAAATCTGGAGGGCCCGAACGAGGCAGGGAAAAGAGGGAAAAAAAGACAAATAGGAAAAAACTTGTGTTTTCACAGGGAAAAAGAGGAACAAATCTCCGCGCCCCAAGGCCGGAGGAGGAAAAAGAGGAAAAATCCGTCTCTCCCTGTTCCTCCTCGTCGTCCTCCTCCTCCTCCTCCTCCCCGTCGTCGTCGTCGTCCTCCTCCTCCTCCTCCTCCGTCCATCTCCCTTTCCTCCTCTTCCGCAGGCGGAAAGTTTGTTTTTTTTTTTTTCCTCCTCCCGCCCTCGGAGGCAGAGTTTTTTTCCTTTTTTTCCCTGTGAAAACACAGGTTTTTCCTTATTTGTCCTTTTTTTCCTCTTTTCCCTGCCTCGTTCGGTCCTCCGAATTTCTCCGCCGTCCCAGGGGAAAGACCGAAAAAGAGGAAAAAAAGGAAAAATAATGAAAAAACTGTGCTTTCACAGGGAAAAGAAGGAAAAAACTCTGCCTCCGAAAGCGGGCGGAGGAAAAAAAAGAAAAAAAAGTTCCGCCAGCGGAAGAGGAGGAACACAAGGGAGGGAGGAGGGGGAGGAGAAGGAGGAGGAAAAACGGCAGAGCAGGGGAGCGTGGAGGAGAGGAGGGAAGTTTTTTTGTTCAATCGCTTCGGCGAGTTCGAGAACGAACAAAGCAGCTGCAGGCTGGGTCGGAACCCCCAACGTGCAACAAGGACGAACCATATCGAATGGCTGAAATACACCCCTCGTGGAATCTGCATGGCACCTCTTGGACATCTACATAGCATAGTCAGCAGCATGAACACGAACGGGCTCATATAATGTTGCGCGGCCTCCAGCCGCTAACGCCTTCCACTATTTACACGTAAGTCCAAAGAGACAGTTATCCGAATATGCCGTTGGCCCGTGCATCGCTCACAGCCGACCTACTTACGCATCGTCACCATCGATCGTCACCACAGACATCGACAAGCCCCACTTGTCAGCGACGGTTTTCACCGCCGCGCGGAGGTCGTCCATGGCATCCTCGGGCATCAAGAACACAGCGCCATCAAACATGTAAGTGTTGACGGTCACGCCGTCCACAGAGGTCACCTCCGTCTCTAAGTCAGACAAGATGGAATCCTCCACAGAGCTCAAGGCGTAGTGAAGCTTGGATGCGGCGGGGCAGCGGCGGTTCTCGAAACGACCGTCCAAGTACCTGAATTTCTCGCGCGACAGAAGCATATCCACAGCTTTGTGCATGTCGACGGCGAGGTTCCACAGAAACGGGACATCGCACGCCGGCTTCCCCAAATGCACGATTTTGATGAGAAGCTTCTTCGCCTCTTTCGCTGTCACGTGCATGGAATCCGAGCTGTCTGCCCAATGCTGGGACATGCGCTCGATATACATCTTGAGGTCCTCGTTCTCCTTGGTGAGGCGGCAGCACTCTGCCTCGTGCATCTTGAGCTCCTTGTTCTCCTTGGTGAGGCGACAGCACTCTGCCTCGGCATCCGCGCACCTGGCGAACAGTTCCTCGAACTCGTCCATCGGGACCCCACCCTCCGCGTAGTTCTCGTGCTCCGAGCCGCCCTCGCCCTTTGAGCTGTCCTCCGAGCCCTTGCCCTCGCCCTCGGTGTCCTCCGAGCCCTTGTCCTCGGCCCCCTCGGTGTCCTCCGAGCCCTTGTCCTCGTCCTCCGAGGTGTTCTCAGAGTCGCTGTCCTTGTCCTTCGAGCCTTCCTCGCCCTCCTCCTCCTCGTCCTCGCCCTCGTCCTTCTTCGAGCCGTCGTTCTCGACACCCTCATTGTCGCCCTTGCCGCCCTCGTCGTCGCCCTCGCCGCCCTCGTCGCCCACGACGCCGTCCATGAGTGCCAGGGCGGGGGGCGCCTCGCGTGCAGGGGGGCCGTCAGGGACCTTTCCCTTTTGCCTGCGCTTGTTGAGCCAGGCGACGAGCTTGTTCTGGGCTGCTTCACTCCATTGGCCTTCCTGGCGGCGCTGCATTCCGCAAGACGCCTGTCTGTAATTCATCTGGTTGTTCACCTCCTTCAGTAAGAGGTCGGTCTTCGACGGGTGCACGGTCAAGCGCCCTGCGTTCACGTCACCAATAACATCCACAGCGCGCGGGCGGACGCGGTCCGCGATCGGCACGGGGGCAACGGGCGGCCCCGAAGGGGCAGCCGGCTCCAAGAGGCGGATGATGTCAGCAGCTGCCGAGCCCGAGGGTTCTGACGGATTGCCAACGCTCAAATCCAGGCGCGCCCGTTTACCATCACGGGTCAACACAACACGACCAGATACCGCAATCGAGGTGTTCATACCTGCTGTAAGACTTCGACACAAATCTTCGGATCAGCCCGCGCGGGGGCAACTTGAGCCGATGATGGCTACGGACAGGGTGGGGCGAGTAGGAGGAGGGGGGGGGGAGAAGTTGAAGGCGGAGGAGGAGTAGGAAAAGGGGAATCGCCTGGAGCCATGAGGAAATCCGCGGCCCCAGAGGTCCACACCCTTTTCCTTGGGATGTGTTTTCGCTCTGGGTCGTTTTTGATGGTTCTGGGGCCCGAAAACGGTCCCTGGACGCCGAAACGGATTGGCGGAAGGGCACCGAGTGTGCTTCCCCTCTCTAGGAGGAGGGAAGGGAGGAGGGAGGGAGGAGAGGTGGATTAAACCGCCGAGCCCTGGATTAATCCAGGAAATACAGAAACAGAAAGATAGGACAGGGATGAGAACGAGGAGGAGGAGGAAGACCAGAGAGATATGAATAGAGCAAAAGGAGGAGAAAGTATGAGGGGAGAGGATGGGGGGGGAAAGGAGGAGGATGAGAAAGAGGAGGAGGACGAAGAGAGGAAAGCAGAACAGAGCACGGAAAATAGGGATCTTGGGGGGGGGGGGGGTGGGTGAGCAAAGTGAACCATATATATATATATATATATGTATATATATATATGTAGTGTGAGGTGTGTGTGTGTTGTGTATGCACACATATAGATAGAATAGATATATATAAATATGGGTAGGGGGTCCCGGACCCCCCGAAGTGCATTGGTTTGTCTTCTGGCCGTTTCGGGCCCGGCGGGGGGCGCCAAAAAACGTCAAACGGGGCCGAGAGACGTCCAAGAGTGCGCCTTGATGGCCCAAGAGCGCTCTAGGAGAGCCCAAGACCGCACAAGAGCGTTCCAAAATTGGTCCAACATGGCTTTGAAGACAGCCCAAGAGGGCTTCAAGATGGCTAAGATGGCTTCAAAAGGGCTCCCACGAGGCACTCAGGAGGCGAAACAAGTAGGTTTCTTCAATGGTTTTTGAAGGTTGTTCGTGTTCTCGCTGTTTCGTAATTCCCACGGTCCAAGACAGCCCATGAGGCCCCAGAAACCAGCTCAAGACGGCCCAAGAGGCACCCAAAGAGGGCGCCACGACGGCGCAATAAAGAACCCCAAGACGGCCTAAAGAGTGCCCCAAGGCGGCCCCAGAGGCGCCCAAGATCGCCCCAAGAGGGCTCAAGCCTTGGCTCAACGAGTTCAGGTCGAGCCGTGCCCGCACCCCCCTCTCGCAGAGCTGCGCTCGAGATGTGGGCGCCGGCCCTGTTCCTCCTGCTCCTCGCCGCGCCGGCCCTTGCGGGCGGCAGCGGCGGCGCGGGGGCCGCCTGCGCCGAGGGCGAGGAGGAGGAGGCGCACGCCCTGCTGCAGACTGCCGGGCAGAGCGGTGGAGCCGGCGCAGACGTGGCTGCCATTGGCGACCCCCACCTTCAGAACGTTTTTGGCCAGCGGTTGTACTTGATGAAACCAGGAAAGCATGACATGTCTGATTACCACGAACGCCCACGGCATTGTCAAATTCGAGTCAAAGCAACCGAACCTCAGTCTTTTTTCCGTACCGTGTCGTGGCCCCAGCTCTGTCTACAATGATAATTGCTGTTTGAGAGATAACTTCAGGGACAAATGTGAAGCATGCATGTGCGCCGGCTTGGACGCGACATTGTGGTGCAACCGCGACCAGGACCCGTTCCCAGGCTGCAATCACGACGGCCAGTGTGGTACAAGCAGCGGGTGCTTCAAATTATTGCCCGATGGTTCACCATGTGCGGAAAGTCTGCAGTGCAAACACCAAGGATTTTGCAGACGCGTATGCTTTCATTGAGCAAGCATGATTAGTCGCTTCCTCTCGTCTTGCAATGTCTGGTCTCTGCAGCGCGGCATTCAGTGTAGCTTACCTTTCGTCTGTAACCTTCGTTTCGGATGCAATATCTTATCATAGCATTCAGTGCAGCTTACCTGACGGTTGCCCTACTTTCAGATGCAAGTGACTGGGCTCCGGCCCGCCCGCGCCGCCCCTAAGGGGCCTGCCGGCCCGCCGGCCGGCGGACTCGCGCGTCTGCGTCTGCGTTATCACAACCTGCAAGGTCAGGCCGGAGACCGTGAGCATCGTTTAATGGCAGTGCGAAGCCGCCAAGCAGCATCAGTCGTTTCCTCTCGTCTTGCAACGTCCTTCCTTTCCTCCTCCTCCTCCTCCTCCTCCTCCTTCCACATGAAGACCTGGTCAGCTCCCCGCCAGGCGTTTTCCCGCAATCGGGGAAGCGCGCGAGACCTTCTGAGAGTTATCGGTTAAACTCTCACCACAGTTTTGAAGACCTGGTCAGCTCCCCGCCAGGCGTTTTTCCGCAATCGGGGAAGCATGCGAGACCTTCTGAGAGTTATCAGTTAAATTCTCAGCATTCGTGAAAAAAAAGCAAGCCTTCCACACCAGGCCCCCAAGAGCGAGCGCCACGTGAGCCATCCAGGGAAAGCTCCGCAGTGGCGAAGCGTTCTGGCTCGCCTCCAGGCCTACCAAACAATGTTCTAAGAACAGCTTGTGGTTTCCGCGAAATGTTCTTAGAACGTTTCTGGCTGAGACTGTCGTGTCTTATCCCATCGGGCTGACGTTCTAAGAACATTGTTCCGGTTCTTGGAACATTCGTGGGTTCTACGAACATGTCGTGGTAGGCCTATGGGACTGCCGGGACGGTCGGTCCCTGCTCAAGGGACCGGGCGCGCACGGGGACCACGACCGCTACCGCTGAACTCAGGAGAGAAGAAAACACACAGACACAATTCATCGCCGACTCCCCAGAAAATATGGGAGAAAACACGGAAAGTGGGGGGGACGACAAAACCCAGAAACTATAGGAGATATGGGGGGATACCTCTACCTGTGTGTACTCACTTGTGTGTCCCATTAGCCCCTTCATGAACGTCGGTCTCGGGGGCCCTCCCCGCTCCGGGGGGCCCCATCGGGGGCCCCGGGCTCGCTCCGAAGGAGCTCAGGCCGTCGCCGAAAAAGGCGGCTCCCAGACCCGCGGGCCCGGAGGCCGACGCCCACACCGGGAGCGGCGGTGTGCCTCCACCGAGGGAGGGCGATCCCGCTCTCGGCGATGGTGGTCATACAGTCGGGGCGTTGACCTGAGGAACCCTAAGCAAGGAACGAGGCCCCTTTTGTTCCATAAGTTAAGCTTCGGTTTCCGATCGAAAACATGAGGAAAACCTGAGGCAAGCTGTGAAACACTTAAGGAACGCGGAGCCCCTCCCCAACCAAAAGGGTTCCTTCTTCAGGCCCGACTGTACTCTGGCTTCCAAGGTGGCCGAAATATTACCACCGACGCCGAAACCTAGGATCACCTTCCCCACGTGGAGGCAGCCCCCTGTGCTGGTGTCGGTGCCAATGTCCAGGCCCCCAGAAGACGGCCCCGTGCCGCCCCCAGGACGGCCTCCAAGAGCCTTGGACGGCTGTCGAGGCGTCTCGAACGGCGCCAGGAGCCTCGGAGCGCCCCGATGGCGCTCCGAGACGGCACCCAAGAGAGCCCCATGGAGGCACACGTCTTCCCCTTCCCCCGTGAAAAACGTACCTGTTGAGCATCGGGGGCGAGGGGGGGAGATCGCAGTGAAACGAAGAGCTCCCCACTGGGAACTCGGATTCGGCTTCGTAGTTGTGTCGTGCGTGTGGGCGAGGCGAAGCCGCGTGGGCGGGCGAGAGGCATGAACCCTCCTCTGGGAGGAGGAGGAGGAGGAGGAGGAGGAGGAGGAGGAGGAGGAGGAGGAGGAGGAGGAGGAGGAGGAGGAGAGGAGGGAGGAGGAGGCTAGGGCGCCGCCGGCACAAAAGACCGGCCCCTCCCTGGTTGCTCGGCGGTGGCGGGGGGTGTCCCGCCAGTGGTGTCCGGATGATGTCGCAGTGGTGCCCCGGGGATGTCCCGTGTGTGGCCACGTCGTGACCCGTCGGTGTCCTTAGTGAGATCGATAGTGAGATCGATGGTGATAGTGAGTCGTGACGATCGGATTGTGAGATCAACGACGAGGTCGTGCTGAGATCCGCGCGAGCGAGACGGGTTCCTCCCCCCCCGAATCTCCTTGTCACCCACAGGGTGATCGATATGGGCCGTTCCGCTTACCAGGACCTTCACAGCAGCCAAAAGTACCCAGAGTTGATCGTCCTTTGGCCTTGCTGTGTGGCAGCGCACACTGCCTCTCAGCTGCCACGGCTGTCGGATGCCCACTGTCATTGCCCGGTGCCGATGATTTTAGATACCACCGCCGCCCCTTGGTTCTGGTAACCGCCTATGTCGGCTGCCTACTCGCCCGCGGGCACCGTGTGCGATTGGCAAGATAGCGAAATGCTCACAGCAGCGTTGCTGAAGCCGCTGTCCCTCGAGCCCAGATGTTTGACAGAGGGCGCACGTGTACAGGCCTCTGAAGGACCTCTTGGCCTTCGGATGCCGTCTTGGGGGCCCTACTGGGCGATCTTGAGGTCCTCTTGAGACGCCTTAGGGCTGTCTTGGAGGCCTCTGAGGCCGCCTTGGGCCTTTTGGGGGCCATCTTGGGGGCCTCTTGGACCGCCTTGAAGCCTTCTTGGCTTGTCTTGGAGCCCTCTTATGGGCTTCCGAAGCTGTCGCTGGTTCGTGGGGGTATCTTGGAGGTCTCTGGGGCCGTCCTGGGCCGTCGGAAGCCCGAAAGGGCGAGAGTCTGAGCGCAAAACTGGTGAATCACGCTGGGAACGTCAATGGTGTTGGACTATTCGGGCCCGTCCGGAGGACATCTTGCAGCCCTCTTTCAGCCCTCTTGGGCCGCATCGTAGGCCTTTGGGGCCGTCTTGAGGCTGGGGCCGTCTTGAGGCTGGGGCCGTATTGGGCTCATCTTGGACCGTCTTGGAAACTTTGTTGAGCCATCTTGGGCTCTCTTGGGGCAATATTGGACATGTTGCAGGCCATCTTCGACCGTCTTGGAGGACCATGTTGGGCAATATTGGACAAGACTGGCAGTCTTGGAGGTGTTGTTTGTTTCGGTTTCTTTGGGTGGCCAGCGGGTGGTGCTGGAGGCCACTGGGAGGGTCCCAACAGCTAGTGTATATATGTTTATATATACACATATACTTGTATGTATATATATATATATGTATGTGTGCACATACACCGATGTATGCGTATACATACACGCATGCATGCATGCATGCATGCATGCATACATACATGCACACATACATACATACATACATACATACATACATACATACATACATACATACAAACACACATACCTACCTACCTACCTACCTACCTACCTACCTACCTACCTACCTACCTACCTACATACATACATACATACATACATACATACATACATACATACATACATACACACATACAGACCGACAGACAGACAGACAGACAGACAGACATAGACATAGACATACCTATGTGCATACACACCTGTATAATGGCCTTCGGCCCATCCTGCCACCGTGCCTGGATTGTGGGGCAGAGTTCTCAGGGATGCTTCTTTGGGTCTCTTCGGAGCGCTCTCGGGGGGCCTCTTGGGGGCAGTTTGGGAGCCTCTTGGGAGCCTCTTGGGATCCTTCTGGGGGCCTCTTGGGGCCTCGTTGGGGCCTCTTGGGGCCTCTTGGGGGCCTCTTGGGTTCTCCCGGGGGCCCCTGGGGGCCGAGGGTTCGAAAGGAAGGTCTGTTCGGGTTTCCCAGCTGGGACCCATCTTGGAGCCATCTTTGGGCCCTCTTGGGCCATCTTGGGCGCCTCCTGGTCCGTCTTGGGGCCATCTTGGGTCGTCTTGGGTCCCTCTTGGGGGCCTTGGGGCGATTTTGGGGGCCTCTTGGGCCGTCGTGGAGCGTCGGGAAGCCGAAAGGCGAGAGGGCCAAAATCTTTCAAAAATCTGGAGACGATCACTGATTTTTGCCTCTTGGGGCCCTCTTAGGAGGCTTCTTGGGGCGTTTTGGAGGCTTCGGGGCCGTCTTAAGGCCATCGTGGAGGTCTTGGGGCGATTTGTTGAGGAAGTCTCGAACCAGAGGCTTATTTTCACGTGTCCAGGTCGCCCAGGCGGATGTCTAGCATGAGCATTTGTTGAGGATGTCTCGAGCGAGACGCTTGTTTGTACGTGTCCAGGTTGCCCAGGCTGATGTCTAGCATGAGGATGTGCTGACAACGTCTTGAGCGAAACGCGTGTTTTCACATGTCCAGGTCGCCCAGGCACAGCACAGCCCTCGGTACGGTACATCAACATCGATACCCTTAGCATTGCAGCCTGGCGTGTTGCCTGGCACTTTCCGCGGAGCGTCCCGTGGCGAGTCCCCCTGGCACGTCGCGCGGTGCACGTCCATTGGCACGTTCCGTAGCGCGTCCCCTTGGCACGTCCCGCGGTGCGTGCCCCTGGCACGTCCCCTGGCACGTCGCCTGGCGCGTCCCTTGGGACGTTCCGCGGCGCGTCCTCCTGGCATGCCCCCTGTGTCTATTAGTTCTGGGGCAGCTACCATCTGCTCAGGCCAGCGCGGCTTACGATCCAATCAGTTCGGTGAGACTCGGAGCAGGGGAGGAACTCGATCCCAACCGCTTATATAGAGAACAATCGCGGCATGCACATCGCAGTTCACCAATCGCAGTTCAGCGACGGCCGCGAGCGCAGCACCGCACAGCCGTCGGCACGGTACATCAGATCGGATACACTCAACTAATGCACCTTGCAGCACGTGCCTGGGCGCTTCCGGGCGAGTCCGCACCTGGCTACGTGCCCGCCGTGGCGAGTCCCCCTGGCACGTCGCGCGGTGCACGTCCATTGGCACGTTCCGTAGCGCGTCCCCATTGGCACGTCCCGCTGTGCGTGCCCATGGCACGTCCCCTGGCACGTCGCCTGGCGCGTCCCTTGGGACGGTCCGCGGCGCGTCCTCCTGGCATGTTCCCTCTGTCGATTAGTTCTGGGGCAGCTACTATGTGCTCAGGCAGCTCGAGCTTACGCTCCAGATCAGTTCGGTGAGGACCCGGATGCCAGGGAGGACTCGATCCACAACGCTATATAGAGCACACTCGCGGCATTGCACATCGCAGTTCAGCACGGCGTAGCACAGCACAGCCCTCGGCACAGTACATCATCATCATCATCATCATCATCATCATCATCATCATCATCATCATCGATGCACTCAGCATTGCATGTGCCCGTCGCCCAATCAGGTGTCTTTGAAATGTTGCAATGCCTTACATTTCTATATTCCTTTTCCGGGTTCGTGGGTCGATCATGTTTAAGCGCCTCCCTACTTCAAGAATCGGCATGCTTTTGCTGCGTTTTGTTATTCTCTGGGCGGGCCCGAACCCAATCTACCTTATCCGCCTTCATACTTCATGCTTTTGCCTACTTCTTCCGACCAATGTGTATCCTCGCTCATCCCTCTGCCCTCGCCGCTCCTCGTCCCCCTCTCCTTTGTGCGGGGGAGAGAGCCCCAAGATGGCCGACTGCGGCCTCAAGAGGCCACCGCCAGGGCTCCCGAGCGATTCAGGCGAGCGGCCAGACGGCCGAAGAGTTTGAAGACTGCCCAAGTGGGCCACAAGGTGGTCAAACAGAGTCGCAAGAGGGCCGGGAGCTACTCCGAAGAAGTCTCCAAGAGGGCCCAAGGAGACGAACATCGTTGATTCGCGTTGGGTTGGTCAGTGATTTTATTTCCAGCCGTACAAAGCTGCGGTAACGTGGCACAAGGTCTTCACAAGGCTCCCCAGGGCGAGCAGTGCCGTCACAAGCCGTGATCGCCAAGACCGCTGAGAGAAGGAGAGAGAGAGAGAGGAGCGACGCAGCAAGCCTTCCACACCAGCCGAGGGGCTCAAGAATCAGGGGCTCGAGCCTTGGCTCAACGAGTTCAGGTCGAGCCGTGCCCGCACCCCCTCTCGCAGAGCTGCGCTCGAGATGTGGGCGCCGGCCCTGCTCCTCCTGCTCCTCGCCGCGCCGGCCCTTGCGGGCGGCAGCGGGGGCGCGGGGGCCGCCTGCGCCGAGGGCGGGGAGGAGGAGGCGCACGCCCTGCTGCAGACTGCCGGGCAGAGCGGTGGAGCCGGCGCAGACGTGGCTGCGGCTGCCACTGGCGACCCCCGCCTTCAGAACGTTTTTGGCCAGCGGTTGGACTTGATGAAACCAGGAAAGCATGATCTGATTACCACGAACGCCCACGGCGTTGTCGATTACGAGTCGAAGCGACCGAACCTCAGTCTTCTTGCCTTACCGGGACCGTCGTCGTGTCGTGGCCCCAGGTCTGTCTACAATGCTAATTGCTGTTTGGGAGATAACTTCAGGGACAAGTGTGAAGCATGCATGTGCGCCGGCGTTGACGCGACATTGTGGTGCAACCGCGACCAGGACCCGTTCCCAGGCTGCAATCACGACGGCCAGTGTGGTACAAGCAGCGGGTGCTTCAAATTATTGCCTCGCGGTTCACCATGTGTGGAGAATGTGCAGTGCGAACAAGGAGACTTGTGCTTAGTCGGACCCGGCGCCCATTGCGGACGCAACAGTGGTCATTAGTCGCTTCCTCTCGTCTTGCAATGTCTGGTCTCTGCAGCGCGGCATTCAGTGCAGCTTACCTTTCGTCTGTAACCTTCGTTTCGGATGCAATATCTTATGATAGCACTCAGTGCAGCTTACCTGACGGTTGCCCTACTTTCAGATGCAAGTGACCGGGCTCCGGCCCGCCCGCGCCGCCCCTAAGGGGCCTGCCGGCCCGCCGGCCGGCGGACTCGCGCGTCTGCGTCTGCGTTATCACAACCTGCAAGGTCAGGCAGTGAGCATCGTTTAATGGCAGTGCGAAGCCGCCAAGCAGCATCAGTCGTTTCCTCTCGTCTTGCAAGGTCCTGCCTGCCCTCCTCCTCCTCCTCCTCCTTCCACATGAAGACCTGGTCAGCTCCCCGCCAGGCGTTTTCCCACAATCGGGGAAGCACGCGAGACCTTCTGAGAGTTATCGGTTAAACTCTCACCACAGTTTTGAAGACCTGGTCAGCTCCCCGCCAGGCGTTTTTCCGCAATCGGGGAAGCATGCGAGACCTTCTGAGAGTTATCAGTTAAATTCTCAGCATTCGTGAAAAAAGCAAACCTTCCACACCAGGCCCCCAAGAGCGAGCGCCACGTGAGCCATCCAGGGAAAGCTCCGCAGTGGCGAAGCGTCCTGGCTCGCCTCCAGGCCTACCAAACAATGTTCTAAGAACAGCTTGTGGTTTCCGCGAAATGTTCTTAGAACGTTTCTGGCTGAGACTGTCGTGTCTTATCCCATCGGGCTGACGTTCTAAGAACATTGTTCCGGTTCTTGGAACATTCGTGGGTTCTACGAACATGTCGTGGTAGGCCTATGGGACTGCCGGGACGGTCGGTCCCTGCTCAAGGGAATGGGCGCGAATGGGGAGGGGGGGGGACCACGACCGCTACACGCTGACTCCTACGGTTTCCGAAGTTCGCTTCAATTCATCGCCCGACCCGCCCACAAAATATGGGAGAAAACACGGAAAGTGGGGTGTAAGACAAAACCATAAACTTAGGAGATATGGGGGTATACCTCTACGTGTGTTTACTCACTTGTGTTTCCCATAGCCCCTTCATGAACGTCGGTCTCGGGGGCCCTCCCCGCTCCGGGGGGCCCCATCGGGGGCCCCGGGCTCGCTCCGAAGGAGCTCAGGCCGTCGCCGAAAAAGGCGGCTCCCAGACCCGCGGGCCCGGAGGCCGACGCCCACACCGGGAGCGGCGGTGTGCCTCCACCGAGGGAGGGCGATCCCGCTCTCGGCGATGGTGGTCATACAGTCGGGGCGTTGACCTGAGGAACCCTAAGCAAGGAACGAGGCCCCTTTTGTTCCATAAGTTAAGCTTCGGTTTCCGATCGAAAACATGAGGAAAACCTGAGGCAAGCTGTGAAACACTTAAGGAACGCGGAGCCCCTCCCCAACCAAAAGGGTTCCTTCTTCAGGCCCGACTGTACTCTGGCTTCCAAGGTGGCCGAAATATGACCACCGACGCCGAAACCTAGGATCACCTTCCCCACGTGGAGGCAGCCCCCTGTGCTGGTGTCGGTGCCAATGTCCAGGCCCCCAGAAGACGGCCCCGTGCCGCCCCCAGGACGGCCTCCAAGAGCCTCGGACGGCTGTCGAGGCGTCTCGAACGGCGCCAGGAGCCTCGGAGCGCCCCGATGGCGCTCCGAGACGGCACCCAAGAGAGCCCCATGGAGGCACACGTCTTCCCCTTCCCCCGTGAAAAGCGTACCTGTTGAGCATCGGGGGCGAGGGGGGGAGATCGCAGTGAAACGAAGAGCTCCCCACTGGGAACTCGGATTCGGCTTCGTAGTTGTGTCGTGCGTGTGGGCGAGGCGAAGCCGCGTGGGCGGGCGAGAGGCATGAACCCTCCTCTGGGAGGAGGAGGAGGAGGAGGAGGAGGAGGAGGAGGAGGAGGAGGAGGAGGAGGAGGAGGAGGAGGAGGAGGAGGAGGGAGGAGGAGGCTAGGGCGCCGCCGGGCCAAAAGACCGCCCCTCCCTGGGTTGCTCGGCGGTGGCTGGGGGGTGTCCCGCCGTGGTGTCCGGATGATGTCCAGGTGGTGCCCCGGGGTGTCCCGTGGTGGCCCGTCCGTGACCCGTCGGTGTCCCGTAGTGAGATCGATAGTGAGATCGATGGTGATAGTGAGATCGATGACGGGATCGATTGTGAGATCGACGGAGCGAGGTCGATTGCGAGATCGACTGAGCGAGACGTGGGTTCCTCCCCCCCCGAATCTCCTTGTCACCCGAAGGGTGGTCGTATGGGCCTCCGCTTCCAGGACCTTCACAGCAGCAAAAAAGTACCCAGAGTTGCTCGTCCTTTGGCCTTGCTGTGTGGCAGCGCCCACACTGGCCTCTCAAGCTGCCACGCTGTCGGTGCCACTGTCAGTGCCGGTGCCGATGATGTAGATCCCGCCGCCGCCCCTTGGTGCTGCCGACGCCGCTGCGGCTGCCTACTCGCCCGCGGGCACCGTGTGCGATTGGCAAGATAGCGAAATGCTCACAGCAGCGTTGATGAAGCCGCTGTCCCTCGAGCCCAGATGTTTGACAGAGGGCGCACGTGTACAGGCCTCTGAAGGACCTCTTGGCCTTCGGATGCCGTCTTGGGGGCCCTACTGGGCGATCTTGGGGTCCTCTTGAGACGCCTTAGGGCTGTCTTGGAGGCCTCTGAGGCCGCCTTTGGCCTTTTGGGGGCCATCTTGGGGACCTCTTGGACCGCCTTGAAGCCTTCTTGGCTTGTCTTGGAGCCCTCTTATGGGCTTCCGAAGCTGTCGCTGGTTCGTGGGGGTATCTTGGAGGTCTCTGGGGCCGTCCTGGGCCGTCGGAAGCCCGAAAGGGCGAGAGTCTGAGCGCAAAACTGGTGAACCACGCTGGGAACGTCAATGGTATTGGACTATTCGGGCCCTTCCGGAGGACATCTTGCAGCCCTCTTTCAGCCCTGTTGGGCCGCATCGTAGGCCTTTGGGGCCGTCTTGAGGCTGGGGCCGTCTTGAGGCTGGGGCCGTATTGGGCTCATCTTGGACCGTCTTGGAAACATTGTTGAGCCATCTTGGGCTCTCTTGGGGCAATATTGGACATGTTGCAGGCCATCTTCGACCGTCTTGGAGGACCATGTTGGGCAATATTGGACAAGACTGGCAGTCTTGGAGGTGTTGTTTGTTTCGGTTTCTTTGGGTGGCCAGCGGGTGGTGCTGGAGGCCACTGGGAGGGTCCCAACAGCTAGTGTATATATGTTTATTTATACACATATACTTGTATGTTTATATATGCATGTGTGCACATACACCGATGTATGTGTATACGAGTACATGCTTACATGCATTGCATGATGCATTACCCTTTTTTACACATACAAATACACATACACATACCACATACACAGACACATAAGACCAGACAGACTGACACTACTATATCACACACATACATACATACAGTACATATAGTTACATACTACATACATACATTACATGCAGTACAGAAATTACATACATTACATACATACATGACAGACACACATACATACACACAGAACATAACACATACAGGCAGACATACATACAGACATACATACATACACAGACTACATTACATTGCAAACAGTACATACCATACATACATACAACATGGAAAAAACATACATTACATACATACACACACACAACATACTACATACATACATACATACATACATACATACATACATACATACATACATACATACATACATACATACACACATACATACACACATACATACACACATACACACATACATACACACATACATACATACATACATACAGACAGACAGACAGACAGACAGACATAGACATAGACATACCTATGTGCATACACACCTGTATAATGGCCTTCGGCCCATCCTGCCACCGTGCCTGGATTGTGGGGCAGAGTTCTCAGGGATGCTTCTTGGGGTCTCTTCGGAGCGCTCTCGGGGGGCCTCTTGGGGGCAGTTTGGGAGCCTCTTGGGAGCCTCTTGGGATCCTTCTGGGGGCCTCTTGGGGCCTCCTTGGGGCCTCTTGGGGCCTCTTGGGGGCCTCTTGGGTCCTCCCGGGGGCCCCTCGGGGCCGAGGGTTCGAAAGGTCTGTTCGGGTTCCCCAGCTGGGACCCATCTTGGAGCCATCTTTGGGCCCTCTTGGGCCATCTTGGGCGCCTCCTGGTCCGTCTTGGGGCCATCTTGGGTCGTCTTGGGTCCCTCTTGGGGGCCTTGGGGCGATTTTTGGGGCCTCTTGGGCCGTCGTGGAGCGTCGGGAAGCCGAAAGGCGAGAAGGCCCAAATCTTTCAAAAATCTGGAGACGATCACTGATTTTTGCCTCTTGGGGCCCTCTAAGGAGGCTTCTTGGGGCGTTTTGGAGGCTTCGGGGCCGTCTTAAGGCCATCGTGGAGGTCTTGGGGCGATCTTTGTGCGTTTCGGAACCCTCTTCGACCGTCTTCGGGGCCTCTTGAGGCCCTCTTGGCCCGTCTTGGAGTCCTCTTGGGCCCGACAAAGTATGCGAGAAGATGCGCCGGGGCCCAGGGGAACCGCGCCAAGCCCAGGGAGATTTGAGAATTTGCGCCGCGCCCGTAGCCATTTTAGCTGAAGCCATTTTGGCTCAAGGTCCTTTCGGCTCGTGGGCCCAAACACAACAGTGGTGTCGACGGCAGCGGATTGGCCAACAACGGCTAGTATTTCAAGCAACCTTTTGGGGACCAGAAAGTGGCTTGAAATACCAGTTCTTTTGCGCCCCCTCCTACACTCCTATAGCACACGGATGTCGTTTGATGTCTTTTGCTCGCGAGAAACGTGCGCCATGTACACCTGTCCAGCATTTGTGCAAGCAGCACCGGATTCACAGTCCGTTACAGGAGATGGACGGCCTCGACGGTTCCGAGTTCGCCAGTGCACAACAGCAACAATTTCAAGATCAACTGGCCAGCGCCGAGAGCAGGGATGATACGACCAGAACCTCTGCGGGAAGTATTGCTGCCACCATCGACGACATCCAGAACCTCAACAAAGACGAGTTCGGCCCGATCAAGCAAGATATAGTTGCAATTCAACTACACGGGATATCCCCCTCAGGCACGGCCAACGCCTACCACAATCATGGCAAACGTGCTTTCACATCGGCCATGGGCAACCTTATCAATTCCGACTCCATCGCCTCGGCATGCACATACATCAGAGAGCAGTTCTCTTCAATGCAAAGTCCAATGCCGAAAAATACATACGCAAAAAGGGGAATTCGAAGATATAGCAGTCGCCGAGTTCGACAGCATGCTCGACCGAGACACGGCGGTCGCTCTTCTACGCAGCGGCGGCCTTCAGCGCGGGAGTAAACCTATCTGGGCAACCCAAGACAGAGGACCAGCTGACCGTGCAGCCCGTAAATATTGCTTTGGTGTGAAACGTTTACTCAACAACGACTTGCATTGTCCATGCACGATTAGGGGGTGTCAGAAGAAGCGCCATGCACATCAGAAGCTGGAGGGGAATTGGCTTTGACGGTGAAAGTACACAACGTGGGATTCGAGAAGGTGCGGGAAGATAGTTGACAGGCTTGGGGCGATCTGCAAAACCACCCACAACTTGCAGAATTGATAACCGAACGCAATGGAATCTCAGTAATTCAGCA